ATACAAGTTACGTTTCAGGACCGGTAGGGTTACGTGGGGAGGGTGGGGGTGTGTTATGTTCTGTGGAATCCCGGAAGTGCATTTTCAAACTGTTTTCGTGACTCAGGTGACTGGGCCGTAGTCGCCCATCAGAAAAAAAAGGAGAGAGAAAAGGAGCGGTCCCGACTAACCAACGTTGCAATGCATGCCGTCCGTTGCAGGTACAGAAGCGTTATGCTTTCGAGGGGCCAGCTGTAACGGTAACTGAGGCAAACGGAGGCAAACGGAGGCAAACGGAGGCAAACGGAGAATAACAGTGGTTAGTGGAGGCTAGCCGAGGCCAAAGCGGCAATAAAAGAGCAGCGAGGACGGACAAAACCAGAATCGTTATGCTTTCGGGCGGGCGGCAGTATCGGACAGAAACAAACACGTGTTGTTCATCTTGATGTCCATCCGCTGGGTCGTATTAGTTCATCAAATTTTCTTATATGCTAAATTAAGGGGCTAAAATATTTAAAAAAAAAACACCTTTCTCAGTCTTTTTTTTTTTTTTTGACTAAGATCAACTGTAGTATCCGTTCCGAGCAGTTCAATTTAAAAGAAGAAAAGAAAGAACAAAATTTTTCTCAGACTTCTAGCTAGAACGCAAACAAAAAAAAAAAAGGAAAAAAAGACACAAGTGTTGGAGTGTCTTCTGGTTTCTATCCGATCCCTGCTCCATCAGGCCCAAAAAAAAAGAAGGAAAAAAAAAAGTCATGTGCATGGACAGCTCACACGTATGTGGGTGGAAGGCCAGTATCTTCCTGATTGCCGCTATGATATTCCTGCTGGCCACGTGGCAGTCTTGCTCTGCTGCACGCGTTCTCAATCAGAACACCCCTCACACATTAGAGGACCACCACGTGGCAGTTGCCCCCGGCAGGCTTTTGCATCAATGCTTCTCCAACCAAGACTGCGACTGGGGCTGCACGTGTCTCAATGGCCGTTGCTTTGAATATGTATGCCCTGAGTTCGGGCTCCGACGGCCCCCATGCTCTGTCGAACCCTGCTAATTTCAGGTAAAATGGACAGCCTCTAAGGGCAATTTACCTGCAATGGAAGTACTAGATGCATGCGGGGGACATTAAGCCCACAGGAAGTGGGGCGGGGTGGTCTATTTGGGGAACAAAAGGGGGAGGAAATCGAAACCAGTGAGGCCCACGAAGATGGTCGAAACCTGCGACGACACCCTGCTGCACAGCTGGTAAAAAAAAAAAAAAAAAAAAAAAAAAAAGAAAAAGACTCCCGAGGGGGGCGGGCGATCGTTCGTCCTCGATCTGTCATGCTATGAACTGTAGAGCGGAAATGATATCGGAGACTGAGCGGAGATGGAGCGGACATTGAGCGGAGGGGAGGAGCGGAGATGGACCTCAGTCCCAGGGAGGGTCTAGCAACGTGGACAATTGGAGAATCAAGCTGAGAGCAGAGCAGGGAGCCGCTCCCAGATGGCTCTTTGAAATTGGGTGCAGCAGACCTGGATCACCTGGCTTGTGGCAGGCCTCGAAAGCCAAAGATAGACGCGCCCACTGCACCGGCTCACAAAAAAAAAGAGTGCTGCAGGCGCAAGATGGTGGTTGTGGATGACCCGGATTCAGATGACTGTGCTGAATAGCCCTCTCACTGGCTCTCAGGGCGAGAACTGCAACGCTGATTTTGTGTGTGTGTGTGTGTCACAGTGTGTGTGTGCGTGTGTGTGTGTGTGTGTGTGTGTGGTGTGTGTGACACTGTCTGTGTGTGTATGTGTATGTGTGTGTGTGTGTGTGTGTGTGTGAGAGAGAGAGAGAGAGAGAGAGAGAGAGAGAGGGTCTGGCACTCAAATCTCCGGCCATATAACTTTGCTCTCTCGAGTGGTCAAGAGCCTGTTTTTTACTAGTCTTCTCCTCGTGGTCCTCAGGTTGGTTCTTCTTCTTCTTCTTCGTCGTCAATTTCTTCTTCTTCTTCCTCCTCCTCCTTTCTTCTTCTTGTTCTTCTTCTGCTGGGCAGCACATGGCTGATGCTGCCACAACACACCCTTTTACGGTTTTACCCCCCTGTCAACCCCCTGTCCGCACCTACCCCACTCCCCCCCCCCCCCCCCCCCCCCCCCCCCCCCGCCCCTCCACATGCCTTTCACAAGTTTCTCTGCGGTGTTGGGCTGCTCTCTGCAAGCGCTGTCCAATGCAGTGTAATTTTTATTTTTTTTTAAATAAATAAACCCTGTAACACTTTTTAGGCCGCCCGGTTTCGCCGAGCGGACCCCTCTAATCCGTCCGGCCCAGCCACGGCTTCCCGGGTGGCGGCCTAACCCAGAAAAAAATAGCTTTCGGCAAAAAAAAAATTCTGAGGGGTAACAGTGCAGTTACTTATTATCGGCAATCATGAATCATTTCCCAAAAAATAATAATAATAAAAAGATCATGAATCATCAAAAGAGTAGTAGAAAGGGATGGGGGGAGGTAAGAGAACAGATCAGCTTGGGGACTTTCTTTTTTGCCTTTTTTCTTTTTTAAAAACAAAAATAATAACTAGGCTGGAGTCCTGTGTTGAGTTTTTAATTTGCAGAAATGACAGGGCACTGCAGGTCCGGGCCGACGGGCCAGGGCAGTTAGAATCTGCAATAAAAAACAGCTTTGTGCACTGTAGAAAATGCGATTTTTGATAGCTTCTCTTCGCCACACAGGCTGTCGAAGTCGGAGACGGGAAGAAAATAAAAATTTGCAAGTACGTTGTCAGAGAATGCTTCTCGACACCTCCTGTCTGTCGAAAGTTGTTGTATCCCCCTCCAGCCTGCTGCTACTCGGATGCTTTCGACAGTCCTCGGCTGCGCCATAGACTTCTCTTCGGAATTTGGTGAGTTGGGATAAGGTCGGGATGGGCTAGTTGTCGTACCCTCAGGCCGTGTTCGTCCTTTTCCATCTTGCATTCGCAGTGCGTCCACTCTACAGTGCTGTGTGGCTAAAAGGGTGCAAACTGTCGAATTTACAGCCGTCGACTTCTTTTGCCTTTCGACAGTGGTGTGGCGAGGCCCACAGTCTTGGTTATCTTGGAACCAAGTTCAACAACCGTTCAGAGAACATGGACTTTTTTTTTTCTTTTTTTTTCTTTTTAACATGGCCTTTTCATCTTTCAACCTGCTTTGCTTCCCATTCTTCTGCCAAATGATTGAAAGTAGGGGTAACTACCCGGGAGTCACAAAAACGAGTTATAATTGCACTATGGGCCAAGATACAGTTTGCAATTGCACTTGGGGCACCGTACCTGGCCAGAAAGCTGGGTTGTATACCTTGCCCGAACTGCAATTGCCAAACTGTATCCTGGTCCATAGAGCAATTAGAACTCGTTTCTGTGACTCCCACGTCCTTTCCCGTTGAAGGTATTACAGAAGCGAAAGTGGGAGGTTCATAGTGGCTACGCATGCACTCTAGTGAGTCTAGTGTACCCACTGCAAAATGGTGCTCAGAAAAAAAGGAATGATGATGGCAAATGCATTCTGTGACCACTGTCCATACCCCCGGGTGGAGTCCTCAGAACAGAGCATCTCTGGTGGGAATGTGAAATTGCCAGAGGCTTTTGGGACTTGCTGTGGATGAAATCATGTGCAGATGCTGCCATCTGAGATAAGAAATTCGCTCTATCTGTGTCTGCAGTTTCAAGCGGAGGCAGGAGTGGAGAAGTCGCACTCAAACTCCGTGCTCTGGTCTTCTGGGTCCTCAATCGGAATGCTAGTTGGGACGGAAGATTCAAATCACTAGTACCTTTGCCGCTTCAGAAATGAGGGAAAACGCCAGCTCCCGAAGAATCCGGAGGCCAGGCCCGACGATGGCTGCCATTGATTGGTGGCCGTAGTTTTGTTTCAGCCTCCTGAAAGCAGTGTTGTCACCCTGTACAGGGACGGCCCGTCCGTACTCCCATACGAGCGTAGTACGGGCCCTCAGCGCCCGGCCCGTACGTACAGACTTTGGGCCCTCCGTACACGTCCTTTTGGAGGGTTGTTGAGGGGGTGGATGGGCTGGGGGGGGGTCGGATGTSGGGGGGTMCCCCCCCCCCCCTTMAAAAAAAAAAAAAAAAAAAAAAMATTTWTKTCCCTGATGTAAAAGAAAAAGAAAAAAAGATTGATTGATTGATTAATTGGTTGATTGATTGATTGATTGATTGATTGATTGATTGATTGATTGATTGATTGATTGGTTGATTGATTGATAGTTTTTTTGATTGATTGATTGATTGATTGATTGATTGATTGATTGTAAGAAAAAACAGAAAAAAGTCTTTAATACCAAGCCACAAGAAGCCTCCCTGGGGTCAAGCTCCACAAGCCGGGTCGAGTTTCCTCAAGGCCTGAATCTGGACGTCTTTCTGGAGATGTGCAGAAATGGCATTGCGTCAAGTTTCCAGATTCAGGGCCTGCTCAAACCAGGCTCATTTTGTGATTGTGCGAATTTGAGAGCGTAGTGTGGGCATGCTCTCAGGCATTGAGGGAACTCAACGCTGCTTGTGGGACTTGGCCCCTGGATTTAACCAAGCCCTGGATCTACTGCGACTCATTTTCCGTTTTTCGTTTTCTTTTTTTTGGTTCCTTCTTCGGCTTTTTTCCTGTCGACGGATGCCGTGCGAGAGACGGCTAGAAATCCCTAACCAATGGGCCAAGCTCAAATGGTACACCCATGAACTGTTGAAATGCAGACACAGGTTCAGATCCAGATAGCAATGAAATAGTCCTCAATTATACCAGGGGCCGTTTAGTTCAATGATGATATCTCAAGGCCATGGGAAAAGTTATAAAGCCCCTGAGCAAAAATGGTGGGAAATTGTTTTACCAGCCTAACCAGGGTGCAAAAATGACGTTGAAAAGTCTATTGGGGGCCTGCCGTACTTTTTGCCCCATTGGGGGGGCAGATGAATACAAAGATTTGAATACAAAGATTTCTTTTTCTTTAGGAGAAACTAGGACGGAGTCACAAAAACGAGTTATAATTGCAGTATGGCCAAAGATACAGTTTGCAATTGAAGTTCGGGTAATGTATACAACCCAGCTTTCTGGGCAGGTAGGGTGCCCGAACTGCAATTGCAAACTTTATCTTGGCCCATACTGCAATTATAATTTATAACTCGTTTCTGTGACTCCCATGTAGCTACCCATTTTTTTTTATATATTTTTAAAAGGGCGATGGCCTTCAGATATCATCTTCAAACTGACTAGCCCCAGGTAAATCCACTCTAATCCAGACTTATTTACTCATCTGAGTTCATAGGGATTGGGACAAAGGTCCTCATTTCAACTTTCGTCGTTGGAGGGGGGGATTTATACCTCTTCCAAAAAAGAAGAGAGAAGAAATCCCTACCATCTTTCCCTGAATGGAAAGCAGGGAACGGATGGTCATTATCGCCGTATGTAGACTGAACAATGCGACGGTGGCATCCTTGTGGTCTGATTGGCGGCATGCTGTAGCTATGATGACACCTCACCTGCGTGACGCGGGCGGCCTAGGCCACGGGCAATTCGGCCGTCGCGGCCGGAAAAGTCGGCCGCGGCTGCGGCCAGGAGGCCTAGTTTTGCGGCCTGATTTTTTGGATATTTGTTTTGGGGTTAACAAATACGTGAAACAAAAATAAAAAAATATGGGGTTGTCAGGTTTGCAAACACTACAACCCCATAATTTCTGTTTTTGAGTTTGACTTGACTTATGAATTGTAAAAAATGAAAAACGAAAATCAGGTAAAAGCAAAAAATCAAAAATAAATAAAAGAAAAGCAGGAATTTTTCTTTCCCATTTTTTTCATAACTGATATGGAGTTAGAGTCCTCCTAAAAATTTCGCACAGGTAACTTCCTTTTTTGAAGTTTTTTCTTCTTTTTCTCTTTTTTGTCTTCGCCTTCTTCTTCTTCTTCTTTGCTGGGTTTTTTTTTTCTTCTTCTTCTTCTTTGCTGTTTTTTTTTTCCTTCTTCTTCTTCTTTGTTGTTTCTTCTTCTTCTTTTTCTTCTTCTTCTTCTTCTTCTTCTTCTTCTTCTTCTTCTCTTCTTCTTCTTCTTCTTCCTTGCTGTTTTTTTTTCCCCCTCGTCTTCTTCTTCTTCTTCTTCTTCTTCGG